TAATTAAAGAGTATGTCAGACAAACATGCATAGGAGTGGCAGAGGAGGCAATGTTTTAGGAGCGAGCAGATGTGGCAGCAGAGGAAGGGGTCGAGGCAGCACTAGTCGCAGCCAGAGGCCAGTGCTCCCGGTGTCATCCAGCGGTCGTGTCTCCACCGACAACCCTGCCGTCATCGATTGGTTGGCTCGGTCGTCTTCCTCTCTTCCCAGGTCACCTCTGACACCTACAGCCAACGGTCGGTGGGTACGTCAGACACAAACCGTTAGTTGGCATGGCCCGGGAGCAAGCCCACTGAAATCACGTGTCCTCGACCTGCCCCTGTCCTTTGGTGTTCCCTCACCAAGTGAAGTATCGCATGCTGTGGGCTCAGCCCCACTGTACAGTGAGGAAGAGCTAACAGAGGGCGGTCAGGAACGGGGGGAGACATCCGCCTCTTCAGCAGCCAGGTGAAGAAGTAGTGGCGAGGAGAGTGGCTCGGTAGCCGGTCTAGAGACAGGTCTGTCTCCTGACCCACACGCAGCCGAGGGGGCTAGTAGTGAGGCGGAGACCCTAATTGATGATGATGAGGCTGATCGCACTTGGCAGCCTCGTCGTCATCAGGCTATTGCTTCCGCATCATCAGGAGAAGAGGGTGGCAACTTGGCAGCGAGCAAAACAGTCGGTGGGTTGCCCAGGAGGCAGCAGGGTTGCAGCAGTGTCAGTGGAGGCAAACGGCCACGGAGTAGAGCACCAGCTCTACTGCAGCCTACCACCACGGCCAGTAGTGGTGCCGGTGTGCACGGAGGAAGCAGCGTCAGCCAGTGAGGAGTATCGGGGGCAAAGTTTCCTACTCGGCGGTGTGGCAATTTTTTGTCAAGCCGCCCGAGGAAGTAAACGTAGCCGTATGTCGACTATGTGGCCAGAAAGTCAAGCGTGGCCAGGGGGCCCATGTTGGGACTACAGCGTTGCGGCAGCATATGCAGCGTCGCCATTTGGTGGCCTGGGAAAACCATGATAAAGATACGGCGGTTCTGCCTGCCCCAGCCCCCGCTCCATCACCCGCTCCGTTACTTGCTCCGTCACCCGATGTCAATCGCCCTCTATCAGCCAGTCAAGGCTCCAACACCTCTGCTGAGGGGAGTTGTCGCTCGTTGGCATCTTCCGCTCATTCTGATGCTCCTTCTCCTGCTACTCCTCTTCACGGATTCCGTCAGCAGTCTTTCTTGGAATCCGTTTCCAAGAGACAACAGTTTGCGAGCACGCACCCGACGGTGCAAAAGCTGAACGTCCTCCTGTCCAAGTTGCTGGTGCTGCAGTCCCTCCCTTTCCAAGTGGTGGACTCAGCACCTTTCCAAGAAATGATGGCTTGTGCCGCGCCGCGGTGGAGAGTGCCAAGCCGTCATTTCTTCGCCAAAAAGGCAGTGCCAGCCCTGCATTCACATGTAGAAGAGATGGTGGGCCAGTCTTTGAGCATGTCGGTCTCTGCCAAAGTGCACGGCAGCGCCGACGTGTGGAGCTGTAACTACGGTCAGGGACAGTACATGTCATTTACGGCCCACTGGGTGAACGTGGTGCCGTCACAGCCGCACCAGCAACTTGGACAGGTCACGCCGCGCTTTTGCCTCCACGTTTGCACGTCCTTGGTCCGGCAAAGATGTCCGCCTCTACCACCTCTTCTTCCGCCGTGTCCTCAGCCGCCACCCCCGTGCCAAGTCCCATTACCCGACCGGCATATCACATGTGCAGGGCGCAACGGTGTCACGCTGTGCTGCAGCTGGTATGCCTTGGCGAACGTAGTCACACAGGGGAGGAACTTCTGAGTGTAATGAACAGAGAAATCGACAGATGGCTGTCTCCGCGCAAACTGAAAATCGGAACCATGTTGACCGACAACGGAAAGAACATGGTGTCTGCTCTGCGTCAAGGAAGGTTGTGTGCATGCGCCATGCATGGCTCACGTGTTCAATCTGGTTGTCAAGCGGTTCCTAAAATCCACCATCCCACTGCAAGACATCCTTAAAATGTCACGTAAACTTTGCATGCATTTCAGCCATTCCTACACCGCAAAGCACACCCTCCTTGAGCTGCAGCGGCAGAACGGAATTCCACAGCATCGCCTGATCTGCGACGTTGCAACAAGGTGGAATTCAACCCTACACATGTTAGACCGCCTTTACGAACAGCGAAGGGCCATCACCGATTTCCTGATGTTACAAGCGGATAAAGGTACTCCCCTGTGTAACTTCGATGTCAGCCATTGGCAGCTCATGCGTGACACCTGCCGCTTGCTCAGGCCCTTTGAGGAGGCCACGCTATTCGTGAGTCGGCAGGACTATGGGATGAACGACGTCATTCCTCTGTTGCACGTCCCTGGAACAAATGCTGTTAACAATGGCTGGTCAGGGTGCGGTAGACGTGGCGCACAGATCTCAACGCCACATGACCCCTGTGGGGGCAGGACAGGAAGAAGAGGAGGAGGGTAGAGGAGGACATTTGTGCTCAGGAATTATTGAGTGAAATGGGTGGTTTTTCCACTCAGCGGACAGGAGTGGAGGAGCAGGAGCATCTGGTAGAGGAGGAGGAGGAGGAGACAGACAGAGGACCCAGACGCACCGTGGCAGTATGCTGTGGAGATGGAGGCAGGGAGTCCCTCGCATTCCTTGGCACAAATGGCCCATAGCATGCTCGCTTGCTTGCGTAGCGACAGCCGAATAATAACCATCAGACAGAGGGATGACTTTTGGCTGTCCACCTTGTTGGACCCTCGCTACCGTTCAAAAATGGTGGCCTTTTTCACACCTGCTGAGAGGGAGGCCAAAATAACGTACTATAAAAAACCACCTATGTAGTCAGTTGGTCTCTGCCTTTCTGCGCCAACGTCCATCCTCAGACACTGTGGGCCCTGTGCGCTCGCGTTCCGCTGCCATGGCAGCAGGGGAGGGGTGGGGTGGTGGTAGTAGGAGCAGTGGCAGCTCCACCAGCAGCGGCTGCCTCAGTCTGCAGTCGATGATGAGTAGCTTTCTTCACCAGCGCAGTGAGGAAACTACTAACCAGCCAGCAGCAGCAGCAGCAGCATCAGGTGGACCTGGAGCAGGACCTCAAACAAACAGGCTTGGGCCTACTTGGACAGCACCCTGCCAACCGAGGTAGACAATCCCCTTGACTACTGGGCAACGAAACTTGACTTTGGCCCCAACTAGCTGAATTTGCCCTTGAAAGGCTGTCATGCCCGGCCAGTAGCCAGTAGCGTCGGCATCGCGAGCGCGTGTTTAGTGCGGCAGGAGGTATTGTAACTCCGCGGAGGACACGACTGTCCACCCAAAGTGTGGAGAGACTCACGTTTGTGAAAATGAATCAGGCGTGGATTAGTCTGGATTTCAAACCACCAGTTCCTGACACAACTGACTAAATCCGCCATGAATCATGCCCCAAACATGTGCCACTTTCAGGTCTCCTCACACTGCTGGTGTGTTTCCATTTTTTGTCATAGGGTGCTGGCAGATTACGGGCCTCCCATAGCTGCTGCCAGGCCCCCTAATCTGCCATGGGCCCCTGTACCGCCTCCTCATGCTGCTGCCAGGTCCACAGTGTCTCATGCCATGTACGGCCTCCCATTGCAGCTGTCTCCTCACACTGCCATGTGTTTCCAGGTTCCTTGCTGGTGTGTTCCATTTTTTGTCATAGGGTGCTGGCAGATTACGGGCCTCCCATAGCTGCTGCCAGGCCCCTAATCTGCCATGGGCCCCTATACCGCCTCCTCATGCTGCTGCCAGGTGCAGAGTCTCTCATGGGTCCCTGTACGGCCTCCCATTGCTGCTGTCTCCATCGCCACACTCTGCCATGTGCCACTTTCAGGTCTCCTCACACTGCTGGTGTGTTCCATTTTTTTTTGTCATAGGGTGCTGGCAGATTACGGGCCTCCCATAGCTGCTGCCAGGCCCCTAATCTGCCATGGGCCCCTGTACCGCCTCCTCATGCTGCTGCCAGGTCCAGGTCTCCACCCTGTGTCTCATTGCTGCTGTCTCCATGTGCCACTTTCAGGTCTCCTCACACTGCTGGTGTGTTCCATTTTTTGTCATAGGGTGCTGGCAGATTACGGGCCTCCCATAGCTGCTGCCAGGCCCCTAATCTGCCATGGGCCCCTATACCGCCTCCTCATGCTGCTGCCAGGTCCAGAGTCTCTCATGGGTCCCTGTACGGCCTCCCCCATTGCTGCTGTCTCCATCGCCACACTCTGCCATGTGCCACTTTCAGGTCTCCTCACACTGCTGGTGTGTTCCATTTTTTGTCATAGGGTGCTGGCAGATTACGGGCCTCCCATAGCTGCTGCCAGGCCCCTAATCTGCCATGGGCCCCTATACCGCCTCCTCATGCTGCTGCCAGGTCCAGAGTCTCTCATGGGTCCCTGTACGGCCTCCCATTGCTGCTGTCTCCATCGCCACACTCTGCCATGTGCCACTTTCAGGTCTCCTCACACTGCTGGTGGTGTTCCATTTTTTGTCATAGGGTGGGTGCTGGCAGATTACGGGCCTCCCATTGCTGCTGCCAGGCCCCTAATCTGCCATGGGCCCCTATACCGCCTCCTCATGCTGCTGCCAGGTCCAGAGTCTCTCATGGGTCCCTGTACGGCCTCCCATTGCTGCTGCTGTCTCCATCGCCACACTCTGCCATGTGCCACTTTCAGGTGCCACTCAGGTCTCCTCACACTGCTGGTGTGTTCCATTTTTTGTCATAGGGTGCTGGCAGATTACGGGCCTCCCATAGCTGCTGCCAGGCCCCTAATCTGCCATGGGCCCCTATACCGCCTCCTCATGCTGCTGCCAGGTCCAGAGTCTCTCATGGGTCCCTGTACGGCCTCCCATTGCTGCTGTCTCCATCGCCACACTCTGCCATGTGCCACTTTCAGGTCTCCTCACACTGCTGGTGTGTTCCATTTTTTGTCATAGGGTGCTGGCAGATTACGGGCCTCCCATAGCTGCTGCCAGGCCCCTAATCTGCCATGGGCCCCTATACCGCCTCCTCATGCTGCTGCCAGGTCCACAGTGTCTCATGGGTCCCTGTACGGCCTCCCATTGCTGCTGTCTCCATCGCCACACTCTGCCATGTGCCACTTTCAGGTCTCCTCACACACTGCTGGTGTGTTCCATTTTTTGTCATAGGGTGCTGGCAGATTACGGCCTCCCATAGCTGCTGCCAGGCCCCTAATCTGCCATGGGCCCCTGTACCGCCTCCTCATGCTGCTGCCAGGTCCACAGTCCCATTGTGCTGTCATGCCATGTGCCATGTGCCACTTTCAGGTCTCCTCACACTGCTGGTGTGTTCCATTTTTTGTCATAGGGTGCTGGCAGATTACGGGCCTCCATAGCTGCTGCCAGGCCCCTAATCTGCCATGGGCCCCTATACCGCCTCCTCATGCTGCTGCCAGGTCCACAGAGTCTCTCATGGGTCCCTGTACGGCCTCCCATTGCTGCTGTCTCCATCGCCACACTCTGCCATGTGCCACTTTCAGGTCTCCTCACACTGCTGGTGTGTTCCATTTTTTGTCATAGGGTGCTGGCAGATTACGGGCCTCCCATAGCTGCTGCCAGGCCCTAATCTGCCATGGGCCCCTATACCGCCTCCTCATGCTGCTGCTGCCAGGTCCAGTCAGTGTCTCATGGGTCCCTGTACGGCCTCCCATTGCTGCTGTCTCCATCGCACACTCTGCCATGTGCCTTTTCAGGTCTCCTCACACTGCTGGTGTGTTCCATTTTTGTCATAGGGTGCTGCTGGCAGGCAGATTACGGGCCTCCCCCAGCTGCTGCCAGGCCCCTAATCTGCCATGGGCCCCTATACCGCCTCCTCATGCTGCTGCCAGGTCCAGAGTCTCTCATGGGTCCCTGTACGGCCTCCCATTGCTGCTGTCTCCATCGCCACACTCTGCCATGTGCCACTTTCAGGTCTCCTCACACTGCTGGTGTGTTCCATTTTTTTCATAGGGTGCTGGCAGATTACGGGCCTCCCATAGCTGCTGCCAGGCCCCTAATCTGCCATGGGCCCCTACCCCTCCTCATGCTGCTGCTCCATGCTGCTCTCATGGGTCCCTGTACGGTCCCATTGCTGCTGTCTCATGCCATGTGCCCATGTGCCACTTTCAGGTCTCCTCACACTGCTGGTGTGTTCCATTTTTTGTCATAGGGGTGTGCTGGCAGATTACGGGCCTCCCATAGCTGCTGCCGCCAGGCCCCTAATCTGCCATGGGCCCCTATACCGCCTCCTCATGCTGCTGCCAGGTCCAGAGTCTCTCATGGGTCCCTGTATGGCCTCCCATTGCTGCTGTCTCCATCGCCACACTCTGCCATGTGCCACTTTCAGGTCTCCTCACACTGCTGGTGTGTTCCATTTTTTGTCATAGGGTGCTGGCAGATTACGGGCCTCCCATAGCTGCTGCCAGGCCCCTAATCTGCCATGGGCCCCTATACCGCCTCCTCATGCTGCTGCCAGCCAGGTCCAGAGTCTCTCATGGGTCCCTGTACGGCCTCCCATTGCTGCTGTCTCCATCGCCACACTCTGCCATGTGCCACTTTCAGGTCTCCTCACACTGCTGGTGTGTTCATTTTTTGTCATAGGGTGCTGGCAGATTACGGGCCTCCCATTGCTGCTGCCAGGCCCGTAATCTGCCATGGGCCCCCCGTACCGACTCCTCATGCTGTGCAAGGTGGAATTCAACCCTACATATGTTAGACCGCCTTTACGAACAGCGAAAGGCCATCACAGATTTCCTGATGTTACAAGCGGATAAAGGTACTCCTCTCCCTGTGTAACTTAGATGTCAGCCATTGGCAGCTCATGCGTGACACCTGCGCTTGCTCAGGCCCTTTGAGGAGGCCACGCTATTCGTGAGTCGGCAGGGGACTATGGGGATGAACGACGTCATTCCTCTGTTGCACGTCCTGGAACAAATGCTGTTAACAATGGCTGGTCAGGGTGCGGTAGACGTGGCGCACAGATCTCAACGCCACATGACCCCTGTGGGGGCAGGACAGGAAGAAGAGGAGGAGGGTAGAGGAGGACATTGGTGCTCTGTGCTGAAGGAATTATTGAGTGAAATGGGTGGTTTTTCCACTCAGCGGACAGGAGTGGAGGAGCAGGAGCATCTGGTAGAGGAGGAGGAGAGGAGAGACAGAGGACCCAGACGCACCGTGGCAGTATGCTGTGGAGATGGAGGCAGGGAGTCCCTCGCATTCCTTGGCACACAAATGGCCCATAGCATGCTCGCTTGCTTGCGTAGCGACAGCCGAATAATAACCATCAGACAGAGGGATGACTTTTGGCTGTCCACCTTGTTGGACCCTCGCTACCGTTCAAAAATGGTGGCCTTTTTCACACCTGCTGAGAGGGAGGCCAAAATAACGTACTATAAAAACCACCTATGTAGTCAGCTGGGTCTCTGCCTTTCTGCGCCAACGTCCATCCTCAGACACTGTGGGGGCCCTGTGCGCTCGCGTTCCGCTGCCATGGCAGCAGGGGAGGGGTGGGGGTGGTAGGAGCAGTGGCAGCTCCACCAGCAGCGCCATGTGCCTCAGTCTGCAGTCGATGATGAGTAGCTTTCTTCACCAGCGCAGTGAGGAAACTACTAACCAGCCGCAGCAGCAGCAGCAGCAGCAGCATCAGGTGGACCTGCTGGAGCAGGACCTCAAACAACAGGCTTGGGCCTACTTGGACAGCACCCTGCCAACCGAGGTAGACAATCCCCTTGACTACTGGGCAACGAAACTTGACCTTTGGCCCCAACTAGCTGAATTTGCCCTTGAAAGGCTGTCATGCCCGGCCAGTAGCGTGGCATCGGAGCGCGTGTTTAGTGCGGCAGGAGGTATTGTAACTCCGCGGAGGACACGACTGTCCCACCCAAAGTGTGGAGAGACTCACGTTTGTGAAAAAGAATCAGGCGTGGATTAGTCTGGATTTCAAACCACCAGTTCCTGACACAACTGACTAAATCCGCCATGAATCATGCCCCAAACATGTGCCACTTTCAGGTCTCCTCACACTGCTGGTGTGTTCCATTTTTTGTCATAGGGTGCTGGCAGATTACGGGCCTCCCATTGCTGCTGCCAGGCCCCTAATCTGCCATGGGCCCTGTACCGCCTCCTCATGCTGCTGCCAGGTCCAGAGTGTGTCATGGGTCCCTGTACGGCCTCCCATTGCTGCTGTCTCCATCGCCACACTCTGCCATGTGCCACTTTCAGGTCTCCTCACACACTGCTGGTGTGTTCCATTTTTTGTCATAGGGTGCTGGCAGATTACGGGCCTCCCATAGCTGCTGCCAGGCCCCTAATCTGCCATGGGCCCCTGTACCGCCTCCTCATGCTGCTGCCAGGTCCAGGTCCACAGGGTCCTCACGCCATTGTGCCACTTTCAGGTCTCCTCACACTGCTGTGTGTGTTCCATTTTTTGTCATAGGGTGCTGGCAGATTACGGGCCTCCCATTGCTGCTGCCAGGCCCGTAATCTGCCATGGGCCCCTGTACCGCCTCCTCATGCTGCTGCCAGGTCCAGAGTCTCTCATGGGTCCCTGTACGGCCTCCCATTGCTGCTGTCTCCATCGCCACACTCTGCCATGTGCCACTTTCAGGTCTCCTCACACTGCTGGTGTGTTCCATTTTTTGTCATAGGGTGCTGGCAGATTACGGGCCTCCCATAGCTGCTGCCAGGCCCCCCTAATCTGCCATGGGCCCCTGTACCGCCTCCTCATGCTGCTGCCAGGTGCTGCATGCCCCTGTATCGGCCTCCACAGTGTCTCATGCATGCCATGTGCCACTTTCAGGTCTCCTCACACTGCTGGTGTGTTCCATTTTTTGTCATAGGGTGCTGGCAGATTACGGGCCTCCCATAGCTGCTGCCAGGCCCCTAATCTGCCATGGGCCCCTGTACCGCCTCCTCATGCTGCTGTCCAGGTCCACAGTCCATTCTGCCATGTGCCACTTTCAGGTCTCCTCACACTGCTGGTGTGTTCCATTTTTTGTCATAGGGTGCTGGCAGATTACGGGCCTCCCATTGCTGCTGCCAGGCCCGTAATCTGCCATGGGCCCCTGTACCGCCTCCTCATGCTGCTGCCAGGTCCACAGTGTCTCTCTCATGGGTCCCTGTACAGCCTCCCATTGCTGCTGTCTCCATCGCCACACTCTGCCATGTGCCACTTTCAGGTCTCCTCACACACTGCTGGTGTGTTCCATTTTTTTTGTCATAGGGTGCTGGCAGATTACGGGCCTCCCATAGCTGCTGCCAGGCCCCTAATCTGCCATGGGCCCCTGTACTGCCTCCTCATGCTGCTGCCAGGTCCAGCTCAGGTCCACAGTGTCTCATGCCATGTGCCACTTTCAGGTCTCCTCACACTGCTGGTGTGTTCCATTTTTTGTCATAGGGTGCTGGCAGATTACGGGCCTCCCATAGCTGCTGCCAGGCCCCTAATCTGCCATGGGCCCCTGTACCGCCTCCTCATGCTGCTGCCAGGTCCACAGTGTCTCATGGGTCCCTGTACGGCCTCCCATTGCTGCTGTCTCCATCGCCACACTCTGCCATGTGCCACTTTCAGGTCTCCTCACACACTGCTGGTGTGTTCCATTTTTTGTATAGGGTGCTGGCAGATTACGGGCCTCCCATAGCTGCTGCCAGGCCCCTAATCTGCTATGGGCCCCTGTACCGCCTCCTCATGCTGCTGCCAGGTCCACAGTGTCTCATGCCATGTGCCATTTTCAGGTCTCCTCACACTGCTGGTGTGTTTCCATTTTTTGTCATAGGGTGCTAGCAGATTACGGGCCTCCCATAGCTGCTGCCAGGCCCCTAATCTGCCATGGGCCCCTGTACCGCCTCCTCATGCTGCTGCCAGGTCCACAGTGTCTCATGCCATGTGCCACTTTCAGGTCTCCTCACACTGCTGGTGTGTTCCATTTTTTGTCATAGGGTGCTGGCAGATTACGGGCCTCCCATTGCTGCTGCCAGGCCCCTAATCTGCCTCTCCACCGCTGCGGGGGACTTGGGGGGACAGTAAGTACTGTATACAACATGCCTTATCACTATAATGGAGTACAGGGGAGCTGGGAGTAATGTATATCCCAGCTCCCCTGTACTCCATTATAATGATATGACATGTATACAGTAATGTATATCCCAGCTCCCCGTACTCCATTATAGTGATATGACATGTATACAGTAATGTATATCCCCCCTCCCCTGTACTCCATTATAGTGATATGACATGTATACAGTAATGTATATCCCCCCTCCCCTGTACTCCATTATAGTGATATGACATGTATACAGTAATGTATATCCCAGCTCCCCTGTACTCCATTATAGTGATATGACATGTATACAGTAATGTATATCCCCCTCCCCTGTACTCCATTATAGTGATATGACATGTATACAGTAATGTATATCCCCCCTCCCCTGTACTCCATTATAGTGATATGACATGTATACAGTAATGTATATCCCAGCTCCCCTGTACTCCATTATAGTGATGACATGTAGACAGTAATGTATATCCCCCCTCCCCTGTACTCCATTATTATAGTGATATGACATGTATACAGTAATGTATATCCCCCCTCCCCTGTACTCCATTATAGTGATGACATGTAGACAGTAATGTATATCCCGGCTCCCCTGTACTCCATTATAGTGATGTGACATGTATACAGTATGTATATTCCAGCTCCCCTGTACTCCATTATAGTGATATGACATGTATACAGTAATGTATATCCCAGCTCCCCTGTACTCCATTATAGTGATATGACATGTATACAGTATGTATATTCCAGCTCCCCTGTACTCCATTATAGTGATATGACGTGTATACAGTAATGTATATCCCAGCTCCCCTGTACTCCATTATAGTGATGACATGTATACAGTAATGATATTGGATATACATTACTGTGTACAGTTTTATATTTTGGACTATTTATTCTAAAGAAAAATGTAATTTCATAAGCTTTAAGGGGGCGTGGTTGGGGGGTGGGGTTTGGGCTGGGCCAGGGGTTGGGGGCGGACCTGGACAAGGTTGGGTGGGGCAACTGGTGGAGAGTAAGTTTTGTGACCGGCTAGTAGGTCTGGACTCAAAATTTTAACCCCTTTAGTAAAGGTTTATTTTTTTTCATTGTAAAATAATAAACACAAACACTCACCAGCTGTCTGCAGTGGTTTTGCACAGAGCAGCCCAGATCCTCCTTTTCTCGGTCCCCCTTTCTGTCAGGTGCCTCCATAGCAAGAAGCTTGTTATGGGGCACCCGCTGCTCCCTGTGTGCATTCACACACGGATCTTTGGCTTGGCCCTGACCCCTCTCTCTCCTCCATTGGCTAACTGGCTGTGATTGACAGCCATTGGCTCCCACTTGCTGTCTTACTCAATGAGGAGGCAGAGACCTGGGACAGCCGAGGCTGTCATGCACATTGCTTCATCTCGATGGAGCTCAGGTAAGTATTGAGGGAGCTGGAGGGGATGCTGCACACAGGTTTTTTACCTTCATGAATAGAATGCATGAAGGTAAAAAACCTTCAGCCTTTATGACCACTTTAATTTAAACCACTGAAAAGGAGAATTTTTTTTAGCAAAAATGACTTACATGAGAGAATCAGGTGACTGAGGAAGAGAGATAAAAATAACAAAAGCATTTGTTATCGGTGATTTGGTGCTGCATTTATTACTGAAAATACGGTTACACTTTAACTAAACGTACGTTGTGCTGAGTATACGGAGTCCCCATCTGTTGCAAATGGTGTGGTTCAGCTCAGATGTCCCTGTAAACAGTCATTTATCCAAACATTTTTTTTTAGCAAGTTAAATGTAGCAAAACTCTGTTTTAATTAAAGTTACAGCAAATTCTAGCAAGCCATCACACAGTCCTTGTCAGCAAATCATATTACTGCTTAGCTAAGAATGTGAACAGCAATTTTGATTGTATTCGCTTAGATATAGTAGCCTCCCTAAAGGTCTGATTATATCCATATTTCTGTGCTCAAAGCGGTACTTTTTTTGCATGGAACTATGTATTTTTTTTATTGTAGGTCTGTAATTTTTAGGAACAACTCACTGAAATCTGTGAACAAGAGTCTAGTAAACATCCTGGGTATGTTAAAATTTGAAACATGAAATCATAAATTATAATTTAATAAATAATCATAAAAAAATAATAAATGTAATTAAATAATATAATCAAACCAAAAACACTGAAATTTGAAATATAGCACCAAGTTTTTTTTTCAAAAAGTACCATTTTTAAAGGGGCAGTCATTTTTCATTGCTTAAAGTGAAAAAAAAAAAAAATTAAATATCATGCCTGGGTGGTGTAGATCCTGCTCCAGCAGGAATTACTTTTTTTTTTTTTTTTTTTTATGACGTACATATATGAAAAAATTGGGTCCCCCTCCAATCCTTACCAAACCCTTTAGGTCTGGAAGGAAGGTTAGGAGGGACTCCACAGCAAAAATAAAATTAAAAAGTGTGGGGTTCCCCCTAAAAGCCATAGCAGGACCTTTAGGCCTTGTAGGACTTTTAAGGGGAACCCCAACTCCAACAAAAAAGGGGGGGTGCATGGAGTTCCCCTTAAAAGTGATACCAGGCCCTTTTAGACCTGGTAGGACTTTTAAGGGATCCTACCCAAAAAAATGAGGGGGAAAACACATGGGGCCTCCCCTGAATTCCTACCAGACTCTTGATCCAAGTACAGGCCTCGCAGGGTAAGAAAGGGGGGTATGAATGAGCACCCCCCCCCCAGCTTACCAGGCCACATGCCCTCAGCATAGGAACTGTGTCCCAAAGGGCATCTTCCTCACAACCCTGGCCTGGTGGTTGTGGGGGTTTCTGGGCAGGGGGGCTCATTAGCATCATAGTATCCCTTTAAATAAGGGGGCACCCTGATGTTGCCCCCCCCTTTGTGAATGAATAAACCCATTCACTAAAGGGTTAAATTCAGTAAAAAATAAAGATGCCAGACTTGAAAAATTCCTTTTAAAAAAAAAAAAAAAAAAAAAAAAAAAATGGTTCCATCATTGTAATCCATTATCAATCACAGCATCCAGCGTTGTCACAACAACACCGACTCGCCAAAGTAAAAAAAAACCCATGCCACTGACCCGTCCGCACCCGCCGAGCACTCGCCACAATCTGGCATTTGCCGGTTCGATGTCAACAATTGGGCAGAGCTAGCGGTGACATCACCAGTAGCTCCACCCAATCGTGCTGTGATTGGCCAAAAATTGCACCTGACCTGCAGTGTGAGTGCAGTGCATTGAGAGCGCCCTTACATTTCGCATGTTCAGCAAACACACACGGATGGCAGATGTTCGAGTTGAACTTGCATCAAGCCTATGCCTAGTGCAGAGTCTCTACTGTCCACTGAAGTTCTAAGGTTTGACAGATTAGGTTAATTTACTATTAAACCCAAAAAACTAAATGTGATTTATTTCAGCTTACAAATATTTAATGGTGGTGCCTGCATTCGCTTTCTTTTTTTCTTTTTTTTTTTGACCTAATGACCCTGACAGTAACAGAATTCCTGGCTCAGGGTGTCTCCATTCTGGATAGCAGATCAACAGAGACACCCTTGGACAGCAGCAAACAGCATTTTCATTCTGGAGGAAGGGTGGTGTTACATGTACTAGCAGATTTACTGTAGGTGGGCCTGACTGAAAAATAAAGCTGAACTCCAACAGTTACAAGACAAGTTTCTTCTCACTTTTGGGATAAAGGTTTTACATAAATGAATAAAAGCTGATCATTGTAAGCACCCCTGTCAGTGGCAAATGATTTGTCTCAGTCCTCTAACTGTCACTTTTGTTTGGCAGCTTGGTCTGTCAAAGGAAGTTGAAAAGTTAGACTTACTTTCTGGATCACCAGGTGAAAATGAAGGAAAAAAAAAACTTTAGAAAAATGGCAACAAATGCAGCCACCACATGTAAGGAATAGTAAGCTGCAACATATTACATTTTTGCTTTGGGTACCACTTTAAGGGGTAATACTGTGTGCGTACCTGTGTTTGTGCTGGGAGCTGTGAATGGTCTAGATTCAAGCACTCCTCCAGGCCATCGTTAAACTAGTTGTTTCGGGGTAGAGGGAAAACCCCTGGGACAGGCAATTCACAGTCCATGTAAGTCAGAGGACATGGTTGATCCAATAACAGTGGTATCTGCCTTTTAAAATAGAAGCAAATGCCACTCAAGGTCAGTCCCCTGATTCCACCCCCACTAACATACCTCCAGGTGCTAGCCCTGTCCATCACAGATTCCATAATGCAAAGAGGGCTCTGGTTGGCTGCACACCTGATTAAAATCACCCTTTTTTAAAACATTTTCAAAAATCAACTCCAAAAAAACAAATGAAGGGGAACAGTACCACCATCTAATGCTATTCCCCCGCATTTGAGTTGCTTTTATGAAAATGCTTTAATAAGGGTGATTTTACCCAGACATACGGCTAACCAGAGCAGTCTTTGCATTGTGGTATCCACCCTTGTCAATGAGGTCCCCTTATTGCCACCAAGTCAGGGGTCACTGTTATGAAGTATGACTTATGTGTATAAAGGTTTAGGGCATGGGTGCAACTGAAACTTGCTGGCTCTCCCTCAGAGCTGCCAATAATCTACCCATGCTGGTTGAAGTCACCTGGGCAAGAATTCAGATTGAGGACCAGGTGGTGAAGCGGGTGGGAGTAGTGGTGACCCACGGTCCAGTTAACCTGGCAGTGCCTGTTGGGTATGAACATTTTGAAAGACCTGGACTTACCTCACCTGTTGGCCAAATACAGGCATTCCTGCCAGCGTTCCTGAGGCTCTGACCTATGAGCAGTATGGCTCAGAGTGCTCCAGGTGTTTGAGGCCCAACAAAAGGCAGTCAAGAAACAACTGGAGCAAGTAGGGGTTGTCTGCACATCTCCGAAGCAGGAATTACTGTTGGCACCCCTACAAAAGGTGATCTGGTCATCCCCCGTTGGGGCCCATGTGGAAGGAGCATTGATAGGGAT